TTAAGTTCTGGTCAAGGCCACGCTACACTCCGATAGCCCAGAAGGCGATATAAGGATGACGGCTCACTGTTTTTGTTTGCTAATGGATAAGTTCACCGGGTCCAAATGGCTCTTTGGGTGTTAAAGGTTGCTGACCCCTGTCTTAGAGCAACTACTGCACAAAGTAACTGTGAGACTAAGAATGATTTTTTTTCCTTTAAAACAAATCTTCCTAAACTGGACTATCAATAGTATAATTTACATGTATTACCAAATATATAGAAGACATAGGTCCAGTCCAGGTAAAAGATGATTTCACCAGATACAGGAAGACTTATTACTGTCCCCAGCTGTGCTCCTGGGAAGAGAAAAGAAGTAGGTTTGTATAACTACTGAAGAAAGAACAAACAGAAAGTGGCAGGTGGACATGAATAGTTAAAGGACAGATGCTGGTCTGCAAGAGAAGCCTAAGCCCAGCAGCTTAAAGATTCATGATAAAGGTTAGTGTGGCCAAGTGTTCATATTTTACTTAATGCAATATTTTTCCAAGTCATCAGCTGTAGGCTGAAATTAAAAAAAAAAAAAGCATAAAATAGGCTAAAAGTGCAATTTGTCTTCATGTTGACAGTCTAGCTCTTGCTGCAGTCTTACCAATGTAGGAAATGGTGAGAAGTCGGCTCCTCTCCAGCGGTGGGGCCCAGGCTGCCCACATGGTGTACATTGCTGGGAATGTAACACCCTGAGGACAAACACATCAGGAACATTAAGAGAAGTGCACAGATGACACTTAAGCATAGCCAAATATTAGCTTAACTATTCCTGGAAACCATTTCAGGACTGTCACATGAATTTTATTGCCATTTGCAAATCTTATGGCTGCAGCACAGATAGTGATTATGGTTCATAAAACAGGGCTGCACATATGAATTCAGCTCCGTTTTCAACATCTTCATTCTGATCCCCTACCTCGCCAATCCCCTCCAGCACTCTGACAGCAATGAGGTAGCCTGCACCCAGGTCAGCAGCCACAGGGGTAAGCAGTGTAAAAATTACAGTCCCCAGGATCCCAAAGCCCATCAGCCATTTTGGTCCAAAGCGGCCAGCCAGGTAGCCCCCAGGGACTTGTGTCAGGATGTACCCGTAGAAAAAAGAGCCCAGGATCCATCCCTGTGTTTCTGAGTCCCAGTTGTAAACACTGGCCTATGAGGGGATAGATTAGAAACTTTAGGACTTCAGGGCTTAGGATATTGATATCATGTCAATTCAAGACTTACAAAGTACTGAGTCTTGGATGCCAACTATGTTTCCCCGTTCACATAATTCTGCCTAATGTATGTTATTTTCCTACAGACAGACATGAATAAAAATAAGGAGCCTGCAAATAATAGTAACTCCTTAACTTTAAAATCTTATCAGTAAAATCAGTAAACTGTTACCTCTACATGTACATGAAATTATACACCAAAAGACTGACTTTCACTGAGAATCCAACAGGTCTATATAACTGGTTTGCATTTAAATCTAACTTCAGGACCTAGAAAGACTTTAGGTGGCAAACATACTCCCAAGCTACATTGTTACTTTATTAAAATTGACTAAACCTATGGAGGACACACTTTAAAGTGGGATTAAATAGCTGCAGTCAAATTTCAGCTCACCGTGTGATTGCGTTTGTGAACTGCAGGGTTGGAATGGCGAGGGCACACTGTGCCACTGTGGTTGGTGTTTGATTGGTGGGTGTTGTTGAGCATGTCCACCATCGCCACACTGAGGTTTACCCTCAATGAATAGACTACAAAGAAGCCATAAGAGGAAAGCAATGCCAGGGCGTAGCGCGATGAACCGCATGCTGGAGCTGAGGGACAGAAACGACAGCAGTGTGAATCATCTGTTTGCACGTATGGTCTGTGTATTAATACTAGGAACACAACATAATCCTAATAAGTCAAATCTTAAAAACCTTTCATATTTTTATGCTGTGCTTTTGTATTATTATAATGGAATTTGGTTATCCTTTAAGTAATGATTCTAATTAGTTTATTTTAAATAAATAATATCAATTTCTAGCATCAGCATGTTGATAATGCATCATGATACATTTCTGCATTGGTATCCTGTCTCAGCCCCATCTGTAAGTCAACTCTAATAATACCATCAAATCTCAAATTCTAAGTCTTATTTTCAGAACTAAGCTACTCTGGATTCAGGAGGTTCCCCAAGGATGCTTTGGCAGAAAGAATGTAGCAACCGGGGATTAAACCATCAACCTTAAAATGAGTAAATGACAAGCCAAACCTAACAACAACGTTAAAGCTCTGAAACTTGTAGCACAACCTTATTTTCATAACTACACTTCACCATTTAATCAGTCTATTTAGTTTGCATACAGTACAACTACCTGCTGATACGACTGATAGTACACACCACTGTCACTGTTAAAATGGGTCTCCTTTATCCAGCCGACTGAACTTATCCAAAATGATACAGAGCTTATTTCAGTAAATCCTGTTTACATTTGGCAAACCTAAACTTGCTCTGTCAGTTCTGTCAGGACTGTGAGTTCACTGCATGCACAGTTTCTCAGAGCTAAACCACTGCATTCAATTAAAACCCGTTTTTCCTTCGACCTGACAGTGGGTATGCAGGTATGTCATGACTCATATCAGAGACACGTCTCATGATACGATTCCAGGGCAGACGTCCCTAACCTCGTGACCGATGCTCATTAAAAGATAAACTGCGTTTACACACAGGTGTGGATGACCAACTTAAATGTCTTAGATGGCAAAATACCATGAACACCTAAAAATGCACACTCAGCTGGTGAATTCAGTAAATCAACCATTCTATAATGTTAGTGACGACTCTAAATTTAAGGTTTACACTACAGTCAGACATACCAGCCACTTTAGCGATAAAATTGTGCTGTTCAGGTTGTTAGTATGTGTCTTTCCTGCCTCTTCCCAGTTAACAAGCGCGGCTTCTTACAAACATATGCTGCACAAAACAACCGAATCGCCCGCATCGTTAGCTGAATGCTTTGGTTTTTTCTTTCACCTTTCTGGACTTCTTCTTCGCGTCCCCGGCGAATCAGCGGAGTCCTCTGCTCGTCGACCTCCACGTCCGACCCGTACCGCTCCATTTTTTAAAATATCAGCTTTTAGTTGGATTGCTTTACCGCATCACAAGCTGAAAGCTAACTTCCCTGGAGCCTGTCAGCTGAGCTCGACTCGGCAACTACCCGTCACGTGACGTTAATCACCGGACCGGAAGAGATCAAGTGAAGGTGCTGAGGAGGTGCTGTAAAAACTTTCAGCAAGAGTGTCAAACTGAAATAAACAAATACATCATTAAATAATTGACTAAACTCGCAAATAAATAAGACATAATAAATTATTTACAATATCAGTTCATTTTAATTTTTTTTGAAAAAGAAAAGCAACGTTTAAGCCGGTGCGTTTCAGGCTGATTACTTTTTAGACACCACAATGACATTTCGTAGTCAAGTCGACTTATACATGGTTGAATATGCATGATGTTACACTAAGAGCCATCGAAAAGGGAAGTCGACTTTTTCAGTCGTATTTCATCCAAAAATAAATACTCTTGCCAACACTGAAAATACAAATATTAAACAGTAATATTAAAACAGATTATGTATCAGTTTTTGGTACTTGAATCCACACATGAATGATTACCCAGGAATTTTAAGTTATCTTCTTTGTTGATAACCAGTGGTTATCAATGAACGTGCTGTAAGATGAACAAGGCGCTCTGAGGAAGTCAGTCTGTTTCAAGCTGATGATACAGCACTTTAAAATACCACAATGACGCTGGAATAGGTGGTTACAAATATGGGCATGAACATTTATTCAGGATTTGTTTAGTTTTAATAAAACACCCTCAGGGAGCACATCAACATACATGCATATACTCTCGCAAATGCCTTCATGTAAATGAAAATAAACAGGAATTGCCCTTAATTTTAGTCTGTGTCACTGTGGTCCGATTTGTTAATTTTTTTTTTGTTGTTCAAACTGAGTTAACATGAATTGTTGTGTTTTTGTTGTAATGCCTGCTCTGAACTTCTTATATCTTGCTGGTGACAAATACCACACAAACATCATAATACCGAAGAAGATAAATAACATCTAAACTAAAATAGACATTTTTCAAGTAATAAAAACTACATAGAAACAAGCATCTAATGTGAATCTAATCTGAAAACAAACTAATCTAAAGTAGACTGAAAAAAATGTAATTAAGTTAAATAAAGCTTTAAACTAATAATAAAATCTAATTCTGAATGATTTGTTGTCGGTTCATAGGCCATAAACAGCCTCAAGAGGGCTGACCTATAAAAAACAAGCATCCAAATGATCTGTTTAAGAACAAATAAGTTATTCTTAACACATGGCCTTCATTAACAAAACAGTAAAACAGGCTAAGAAAAATGATGTTACATCTTCTGTTCACTTTACTCATAGTCTACTGTCAGTGGCACAAAACCTTTATCTGTAGTTTTTTCTGTAAGTAACCAAAAATAATGGGGTTGGTAAGGTCTCGCACTGATTCTCACAGTGATGGCAACGACACATGCCTTTTTTTGACACCTCATGGATCATGTGATAAATCACATAAATAACAATGGGTCGGCAACCCTCAGGACAACCTTCAAAGGGAACCTCCACTGCAACCTGAGACCCACTAACCTTTTGACACGAAAAAACCTCTTGGATGAGAGGTGCACTTTTTTTAAATGGTAAATGGCCTGTATTTGTATAGCACTTTACTAGTTCCTAAGGACCCCAAAGCACTTTACACATCCAGTCATCCACAAGCTACATTGTAGCCACAGCCACCCTCGGGCGCACTGACAGAGGTGAAGCTGCTGAACACTGGCGCCACCGGGCCCTCTGACCACCACCAGTAGGCAACGGGTGAAGTGTCTTGCCCAAGGACACAATGACCAAGACTGTCCAAGCCGGGGCTCGAACCGGCAACCTTCCAATTACAAAGCAAACTCCCAACTCTTGAGCCACTCCAGTTTCCTGCTTTCTTTCCAGCTTTTAAGGCAAAATATGTATACACTTAAACCACTTTAAAGCACTTCACACGTAAAGCACAATTTAGACTCACCAATAAACTTATCATGCATGTATTTGAACTGCTTAAGGCATTGTCATAGTGCAAGATGTTTATAATAGTTTAGAGGACCAAAACTGCAAGTATGACTGGTTTAACCTGCTTGGGACTCTGGAAAGCAAATACACCGTATAGTTCCTTCCTCTAAGGACAAAGATATATGCTTAAAGTGTAGTGAAGAACCATTAACAATTACTGAAAAGAGCAGCTTGTTAACCACCGGTTCAAAACCTGGATACTTTTTTACCTATTTCTCAGTTTGAGTGTTTTTTACACAGATGCCCAGAAATCAATCGCTTCTCATTCCAGATAAAAAGCTCCCATATACCACATGCAGTCATGGTAACAAAGCAAGTGCACCCTCTTTTAATTCTAAAGTTTTACATGTCATGACACAGTGCTTCCTTACAGAAGCAGGATGACGCAGCCAGATGCTGATGATTAAGTGCAGTTGACTAAGTGACCATTAGCAAGTGTGACCATGCATAGTAAACTTTGGGCACTTTGGAGGCCTGAAGCTGGGAAAGATTACAAAGCCATTTTAAACACTTCAAAGTCCATCATGCTACAGTGAGATGGATTGTTCACATAATCAAGCTTTCTAAGAGTGAACATCCTTGCAAATTCAACCCAAGGCCAGAGAAACTACAAAAAACTACATGCAACAGTTACCATGTTAAACGATAGAGTTCATGACTGCAGAACTAGAAAAAGGCTGACAAAAAAGACTGAACAAGAATGGTTTGTTTAGAACGGTCGCCAGGAAGAAAAGACTGAAATCAATGTTTTGCAATGGCTCAGTGAGAGTCCAGAGCTCATCTGATTGATATGCTGTGGTGAAACTTGTATGAAGAGCTCTGTACGAATGAATGCCTGCAAGTCTCAACGAACTGAAGCAACATTGAAAAGAAGAGTCATACAGCCATGATAAAGTCATACAGAAAACAGTTAATTCAAGTTATTGCTGCTAAATGTGGTTTTACTGCTGAATTGTGTGGTGCATCTAGTATTTTGGCTTGTTTTTTGTCAAATAAATAACAATACAGGGTAATCTATAATGTTGCTGTTCACCTGAGGTTGTGTTTAAATATTGTTTGAACCTGGTGAGGACCAGGTGATTTTTTTTCAATATGTCCCGATACACAAAAACCTTAGAACTGAAGGAGGACATACTCTCTTTTTACCATGGATGCATACACATGTTAGAGAAATTAAATTCTAGCATTTGTGAGGTTGTGCAGCAGTTGTTTTTCCCAGATAATAATCTAACCTCAGTCAGTTATCATAACTAGAGTTTTTTCCATCGTGCTCCTCATTGACCGAGTCTCTTATTCTATTAGAGTCAGACGCTGGACACAACAGCTTACTTATTATTAGTGCCTGAAAAAAGTTTTCCAGTTTTTGTGCTGTAATCCCTGCACCAGACAAACTAATGTAAAACATATGAACATGAAAAGGTCAAAGAAGTGGTTTCCTTGCACAATAAATATGACAATTGGAGGACATTATTTCTTCAGATCAATACCAAAGAACATTTTTCTAAAGAAGATCATCTTGTGATGATGGCTCAGAGATATCATCACAGCATGATGAAACCTGTCCAAGTTCGAGATAAAAACCATCAAAGATTGCATTAAAACATAATCCAATCCCCAAAACCAAACATGTTTCACAGACTGCTGTATCGCGTGACTTTCTGTACATTTACTCAAATTAACTGTCATCACACAGAGGAGACACACTAGATTTACTACAATTTCAATATTAAAACATGAGATTCGTAACACTTGAACTTTAAACTTTTGCTTCGTGACACTGCAAATAAATTGATTTTTAGGGTCCAGTTAGCAAATCATTAAAATGGCATTTTCTCCAAACTCAATTATTGGTGAATAAAACAAGTTCTGTTTTGTTTCTGTGTAGAGAGGAATGAACATTACACTCCCCGTCCACATGCTCACACGTAACCACAGAATCAGATGATGTGTGGGAAGGATGTAACCTTCAAACACAGGTTTGTTGTTGAAATGAGGAGCAGCTGAGCTGTTTGTCTCCAGGCTTTGTTGTTTCCGACACAGAGAGCGAGAGAGAAAAGAAAGACAACCGTACTCTCTGTGTGACAAGAAGCAGACAGCCATGAAGACAAACTTACAATACAGTGATGTCACAGCGCTGACAGGAACACAAACACAGGCTCGTGTCAGCAAAAAGCTGTGACGCTAAATATGAGGGGAACAAATGTTGTACTTGGAAGTTGTTGATGAGGTTAAGGTTTTGCATAATAATTTTTTTATGTCAACAATTTACCAATTTTACAGTTTTAACTAGATTTGTAAGAAAAATAATATAGATAGATAGATAGATAGATAGATAGATAGATAGATAGATAGATAGATAGATAGATAGATAGATAGATAGATAGATAAAACTGTAAAATTGGTAAATTGTTGACATAAAATAATTTATTATGCAAAACTTTAACCTCATCAACAACTGTTTAACTTCCAAGTACAACATTTGTTCACCTCATATTTACCATTATTATATTATATATATATTATACATAAATATATAAAGATCACTGTCCAGAAGAGCACAGTCCTAGGAACAGCAAAGATATTGTGCAGGACCCTCAAGCTCCCAGGCCTCACTGTTTTGTGAGCCAAAAAGCCCCTCAAGGGTTGGTTGAGACCAAAATGGAGCTAAAAATCAAGTGAATAAAAGATATACTGTAGCATACTTTTAGGTTTAAAGCTTTTGCCCTCCCCCTAAGTGGTCTTTTAAAAAAGGAGTAGAAAAGACACTTTATTAGAACTGGCCTAGAGTGAGACCATATATTGCATGACACTACAACACTACTTCCAGCACCTATATGCACCACAACAACTGGAATGTCCATTTCAGGCGTTCTCTGTTCAGTGCAGCTGTGTAAACCATCCTCATTAGCAACCAGTCACGCCTCCTTAAATCTAATGAGTTGGCTACAGTATGTGACTTTATGATGAACAAATGTCTCTCTCTCTCTCTCCTCCTGATCTTTCCCCTCCATCCTTCCACTCTCTGGAGACAAGGACCTTTTTGTACGAAAGCGAAATCATAGGACTCACATGCTT